GGGGACTGGAGCACCAGCACAGGCTCCCTAATATTAGGGGGGGCCCGGAGCCTCAGGGGTCAGATCCAGGCAAGCCAAGGGCAACATCTGGCCCCCAGGCCTGAGGTTCCCCACCCTGTTCTAAAGCAGCCTGCAAAAGTCTCTGGGTGGGGATGGAGCCACCCCCTGGCCTCCCAGCGAACCATGCGGTCTCCTCTTAGGCCAGGCTGGGATTACCTGGTTCTCGTGGCACGGCCCCTGGCAATACTCCGTCAAGGTCTCCAGCGTCTGTGTGATAAGGGCCACGTTGTATTCGTTGATGTAGAGGCCCAGCAGGCCCAGCCCCCCCGTGGTGCTGCCGCACATGATGTCCAGGAACTGCAGCGTCTCACACACCAGGTTGTAGTTGGTCTTGTTGTTCTGACACCGGAGGAAGTTCTGTAAAACAAACCCCGTGGCTCAGACCTCCGGGAGGGGCAGCCTGGGGGCAACGCACAGCCCCAGTCTCTGCATCCCTCCTTCGCGCCCTCTCCTCCCCAGGGAAGCCCACGGGGCAGATCAGGGAAGACTTTGGCTCTGTCACGGGGGCGCAGGGCACGTCAAGCCTGTGCCATTGTACGTACATTCAGTGACCGGTACCTACTGCAGTCACAACGCGTCTCTGGCGCTTTGCTTCTGTAGATCACAGAGCAGTCACAAAGCAGGTCAGTGTCATCCCCCCACCTTGTACAGATGGGGAAACTGAGGCACGGGGCAGGGGGGAGGGTGTGACTTGCCCACAATCACCCAGCAGGCCAATTTCAAAGCCAAGAATAGTGCCCAGGTCTCCTGAGTCCCAGTGCTCTCCCCGGTGAGCCAAACCCCCACCTCTCCCAGCTTCCGAACCTGGAGGTCCCGGTTGTGGTTCTCACAGAGCAGCTGCAGAAACCGAAGAATAGGCTCCATGATCAAGACCGACAGTCCCATCTCGTTGTTCTGGCTTCGCTCCCCAGCATCGTGGCCCTTTCGAAACCCAAGGGCGATGGGGTGCCGAGATGGGGGGTGGGACAGCATGAGCGTCCCTCGTCCTAAAGTGAAATCCAGTCTCTGTTACTGGCCTACCCAGGAGTGACGATGGCCTACGCAGAGAGAATGCACTCAAGGGAGACAAGCACATCCCCAGTTGGCTACTTAGAAGGGGCTGGCCTGGCTGAATCTTCACGTTGGCTATCCAGAGCATCTACCTCTGGCTAGATCAGGAACCTACAATTCAACACTGTTCCCATCCAGGGGTTAGACTTCCTATGGGCAGGGTATTTGGAGCTAGAGTTAGGATCACAAAGGTAGATATGGTCCCTGTCCACAGAGCTGACACCCGCACCCTCCCCTCCCATTTACCCTTGGTGCCAGGGTCAGGGGCGTCTTTGTCCTCCTGGGGCTTGTTCCCAATGTCGCTCATGTTCACCGACACCGTGGACTTGGTCTCCTGCTGCGCCTTCTTCATGCGGTCATGCAGCACTTTAAAGAACTTCTCGCACTTCCTGTCACTCATCATCAGGTTATAAAACGATTTCTGGGTGGGGAGAAAGCCAGACAAGAAGTACAAACGTCCCCCTCAGGATGTGAAGTTTCCCCAGCTGCCCCCGGGAACTGTGCCTCCCACTAAGTCTGATACGGTGCCTGGAGGTTCCAAAGTGCTGGGGGACTTTACGACTGATACTCTGCAGTTGTACAGCTGTGGTTAACTTCAGGTTGCAGGGCACAAACTGATCAAGCACAGGAGTTGGGAAGGATTTCCTGCCCCTGCCTCTAGCACTGCAGGTGTTTTCATCACCTTCTACAACATCAAAGTGCTAGGCATTGAAGGAAGCGGGATACTAGACTGAACAGAGCAGTGATCCGCTTGGGGAAACCCAGTGGTCACTGCTTTCGTTTCTCATCACAAAGCTGTCAATCAGGGTAGCCGAGCCAGTCAGATCTCAAGAGCAAGGCCATCTTCATGCACTCTCCTTAATCGAGTCCTTTTGTTGTACAGAAAATGGATCACTCACATCCTCTTTCCACCCTCTGCTATACCCTGAGCTTTAACTACCAAGGTAACCTAAGAGCAGCACATGGAAAAACACAAGCGGTAGCCAGTTCCGCTTCTTGGACGCTTAGACCCCTCTTGGGTGCTTCACGAGTCTGCTCTGCCTCTCCCTTTCCTGAACCAAGGCTTTGAAATAGCAAAGGAATATAACCCACCCTAGAAGGAGAGCCGAGGCAGCCTGACATTTTAGAAACCCCCAGCAGAGGGCGCCAGTGTTGCTTTAATAAACAGACTCCCACGGAGTCCTCTGCAGCCTTTTTAGCTTCTTACGAGCTGGATCAAGAAGTTAGGCTGGAAATTTGAAACAGCCAGTGATTTCTGGTTGGCCGAGGAGCATTGTATTACATCTGCCCTGGCCAGAACCCCGATGTGCAGGGATGGGTGAATACAGGGGCGGATGAGAGTTTTGCGGGGCCCAGGCCTGGGGGCAGCACAATTTCACGCATGCACCACGGCCACAGCCGACAGGTAGTAGCGCATGCGCAGGGCCTATTGAAGCGCGGGGCCCGGGGCAGCCGCCCCGCTCGCCCTGCCCTATACCCGCCACTGGGTGAATATCCTGCAGAGACACGTTTTTGTAGCTCTCAAGTGCAGCACTGCAGTGAGAGTTTTAGAGGAAGGTTTGCATTCACACAAAGCACTGATCTTGGGCTCCCCACGGGGGGCAGTGGAACCCGGGGTCAGCTGGGGACTCCCCAACTGACCCCGGGTTCTGGGGCAATGTTCTTCCCACGTGCCAGGACCACAACACCCCCCTGCCTTTACCTGGATCTCTGTGTTGCCTCCGTCCAACAGCCGAATGGCTAAGAGGATGCTCTCCTGAAAAATCTTCTCATTTTTGGTGTTCATGATGAGGTCCGACACAAGCTTGGTGGCCCCTTCCCTGTCCAGCCGGCACTGGATGGCAGCAATGACTGACCAGTCCTGGTCTTGGCCTGTGCGTGGAAGAACAAGAGAGGTAAGAACTGGAGTCGGGGGCAAACTGGAAGGGCACAGCAGTGAATTCTACAGCCAAGCTAAGGAACAGAGGGTGGCCTTTGGGTGACTATGGAAAAGTCCCTCAGTCGCTCTGTGTCTCAGTTTCCCACCTGTAAAATGGGGATAATGCTTCTGCTCTAACTCCCAAGGGGAGCTATGAGTTCTTAAAGTTTGCAGAGCCCTTTCATACTATGGCCACAGGATCCAATGACTCCCTGAAAACTCCAGCTCCGGAGAACCCTGTGGATGGAACTGCAGGCAAAAACCTCTCTTCTGGGAAGGGCTGACCTCAGGGAAGCTGGGCGATTCACACCGGATGAGTCCCCCATCATAACACAAGGGCTCGAAAGCCCCAGGGGCATGCCTGAGCCTTGAGAGAAAGGAGGGGAGACCGAGCAAGGGTTCTAAGTGGCTCACCGCCCCCGGTCATGTCGACGATCTCCCCTTTGGAACTCGACTTCTTGTTCTGCAGGTAGTTACCCAGGAGCGTTTTCCTCAGCTCGTTGCCCTGGCGCGAGAAATAAACTCCATGAGTCCGCGCCAGAGTGGCAGGTCCCTGACAGCTCACGTACCAGGCCCCGGCCTTTGGGCAGCTAGCTAAGGCTCCCGGGGGAGGGACAGATCTCCCAACCCTCCGCCGGCTGCAGAAGGCCCTGCACGCACTGCGTGAAAGGCTGGGTGTGGGTGAAAGCAGAGTGTCCGCAAACCCCACCTAGTTCATTGAGCCTCCCTTGCCTGGGAGGCTTTCGGGGAGACAAGAGGGTCCAAAAGCAAACTGGTGACTGAATCAACCTATAGAAACTAATGGGTTGACCTGATGTCCAGTTTTGCTTTTGGGCCATCAGGTTAACCCATAGGCTCTGATGGGTTGATCTGGTGCCCCGAATGCAAAATTGGCCGTCAGGTCAACCTGGAGTCACTCCTGATTGACTTTGATGTGAGGGAGAGAGGAAGCAGAGTGGACGACTGCATGAGCATCCAAATGGGGGCTGGGTGGTGGAGAAAAGGGGTGCCAGGTGGGGGGGTGATTGTGGGCATGCTGACCTTGGGCCCTGGGCACTCACCCGCTCCCCATATTTGTTCTTCTTCATTAGCATCTGCTGCAGCGTCCTCAGGACCCGGATGCACAACTTCTCCTCACTCTCCATCAGGTCCTTCGTGTGCTGGACCAGCCTGGCCAAACACCGCAAGCACCCATCAGCTCCTCCTGCACCCCGAGCCGCCCCATGCTCTGCCTGTAGGCAGGGCTCCGCCCTCGCCTCCTTCCTCCCATGGGGACATGCGCATCCCTCCGCCACCCACAGCAGGGCCCAGCCCCACCCTGCTGGGGCTCAGCCCCTCCTGCCCCCTTACTTGGACAGGAAGCCCCCGCTCTCGCAGCGCTGGTAGGCATCGGTCCCCTCCATGAAGAGCAGCTCTGGGCGGTGCAGCACGTCCACCAGGACGGACAGCTCCGCCTCCACCAGGGGTTTGAACCGTTCCTCCAGAGCGTTGATGATTTCCTACAAAAGACGCTGCCATCAGGCTCCGACACAGCCCTGGCATGCACCTTCGGGGCCAGACTGGGCCCATGAGGCGCTGGCCCACGATGGGACCGGGACAGCGCCGCACTGGCTTGGGGGGAGCTCCTGGACGGATCAGGCCCTAGGTCTGCTGGAGAGGGCTGGAGGCTGCTACGTGCAGAGCCCTCTGCGAGTCGGTGCGCAGCGAGCAAACCCGTAGGGCCTGCGTCCTCTCTGGCCCTTTGGAAGCAAGGAGCCGTCAGGTGAGTGCCTGGGTGCTGTGCGTGGGCGTGGCTGGTGCTTGGTGCTGGTAGGGTGACACCTGTCCTCCCACGCTGGGTGCCTCGGCCGACAGGACAGGAATCAGGAGGCACGGCCGCTGTCTGGCTCTAGGGGACGCCCTACTGCTAACCCGGCACCAGCCCCCCGCCGTTTTTCATGAGGCCAGGACTCCCCGCCCCCCAGGAAGGGCTCCCCGCCCTCACCTGTAGCTTCTCAATGATGTTTTTGTAGTCCCACTGGTTGGGCATGGCCGCTGGGTGCCTCGGCCGACAGGACAGGAATCAGGAGGCACGGCCGCTGTCTGGCTCTAGGGGACGCCCTACTGCTAACCCGGCACCAGCCCCCCGCCGTTTTTCATGAGGCCAGGACTCCCCGCCCCCCAGGAAGGGCTCCCCGCCCTCACCTGTAGCTTCTCAATGATGTTTTTGTAGTCCCACTGGTTGGGCATGGCCGAGACGCGGGGGAAGGTCCGCGTGGTGGCCTTGTAGCTGGAGGCGCTCCGTCGCCAGGCGCCGGG